TGCTGTAGCTGAACCCAGGACAATGACCTTGAAAAATGGAAACAAGCTAGTCTAATCTATTTAGCTTGTTTGCTTTCAGTTTGAGGTTCTTCTACATCGATGTAATGTTTGTTTTCTAAATGTAACAAGAAAATGTTTATGCAAAAATATTCTTAGTGGTAAATTACATGCCCATTCTGGTCTGCATTTTAATGAAGGTATTTAAACAAAACCTGCAATCTGTGCTTAGCCTGTCCTGGATCATATGTGATGTATATTGCTTTCTGCTTGCATAGATCTGATTACTAGATTGGGCTTATAAAAAAAAAAAATTAAAAATCTGCAGTGTGGGGAAAAAGATATATTGAATACAATGACACAAAAAATACATATAAAAAAGTATAGGTTGCTTTGAAACTTTTTTAGTCTGCAAGCATTATGATGAGGATTTATTAAAAAGAATGTTGAAAATTTGTTTTGGAGTTATTTTGTTAGGAGAATGGGCATCACAGAATCACAGAATGACTGAGGCTGGAAGGGACCTCTGGAGGTCATCTGGGCCAACCGCTCTGCTCAACCAGAGCCACATGGAGCCAGTTCTCCAGCACTGCATCCAGTTGGCTTCTGAATGTCTCCAAGGCTGGAGACTCAACAACCTCTCTGGGCAGCCTGTGCCAGTGCTTGGTCACCCTTAAAGTGAAAAAATGTTTCCTGATGTTTAGAAGAACCTCAGACGTTTCAGTTTGTGCCCGTTGCCTCCGGTCCTGTCACTGGGCACCACTGAAAAGTTTGGTCTGTCTTCTTTGCACACTCCCTCCTGATATTTATATACATTGATGAGAACCCCCTGAGCCCTCAGCCTTCTCTTCTTAGAATAATAGAATCATAGAATAGTTAGGGTTGGAAAGGACCTTAAGATCATCTAGTTCCAACCCCCCTGCCATGAGCAGGGACACCACACACTAAACTATGTTGCCCAAGGCTCTGTCCAGCCTGGCCTTGAACACCTCCAGGATTGGAGCATTCACAACTTCCTTGGGCAACCTATTCCAGTGCCTCACCTCCCTCACTGTGAAGAACTTCTTCCTTATATCTAACCTAAAGTTCCCCTGTTTAAGTTTAAAGCCATTACCCCTTGTCTTCAGGTTGAACAGTCCCAGCTCTCTCAGCTTTTCCTCATAGGAGAGATTCTCTCTGGTTCCTTAAACGTCTTCAAGGCCCTTTGCTGGACTCTCTTCAATATGTCCTTGTCTCTCTTGTACTGGGAGCCCCAGAACAGGACACAGTACTCCAGGTGTGGCCTCACCAGTAGAGGGGAAGGATCCCCTCCCTTGACTAGCAATACTTTGCCTAATGCAGGCCAAGGTACTGTCAGCCTTCCTTCCTACAAAGTACATTGCAAATTTATGTTCAACCTGGTGTCTACCAGGACCCCTAAGACCTTTTCTGCTGAGCTGCTTTCCAGCTGGGTACTGGTACCCAAGCATGTACTGGTACATGGGTTTGTTCCTTCCCAGGTGCAGGATTTTGTGCTTCTTACTGAATGACATAAGTTTCCTATCAACCTGTTGAGGTCCCTCTGGTTGGCAGCATGATCCTCTGGTATATCAGCCGCTCCTCCCAGTTTTGTGTCATTTGAAAACTTGCTGAGGGCTATGGGAGTCACTGTCAAAGGCCATACTGAAATGTAAGGTAGACAACATCCACTGTTCTCCCTGTCCATCAGGCAACAGATTTCAACATGGAAGTGTATCAAGCAGGTCAAGCATGACTTCTCCTTCATGAATCCATGCTGACTAGTTCTGATAGTTTTGTTGTCCTTCATGTGCATCAAAATGGTTTCCAGGATCATCAGTATACAGTATTAACTGTCTTTTGTGTTTAGCTTTTCTATATTCCCAGCAGAAATAGTTTTCTTGGGAAAAGACAGATAGTTATAGTTATGGAACTATATATATATAGTTCTATTGATGACATTCACTTATTATGTAATTTAATTGAAAACAAAAATAACCTGTTAGCTTTTGTACTCTAAATGCTGTCAGATATTGAACGGATCAGTCTTTTTTTCATCAGGTACACATCTGAGCTTGCCTATATTAATTTGGAAGCTAAAGTAAGGGATGTGGATCCAGCAAAGCAAGAAGGAAATTCCCAAATTTTTGCCTAGTTAAATGTGCCTAGCAACACATCTAAAGTGTTTTTATGTAGGAAAGCACTAAATAAATAGAACTGAAATGTTGATGGATTATGAGCAACATTTTAAAGTGCTGTGTCTCTGACTTACTTTATGTCTGCTACTGGTTCGATAACCATGTAAACAGAACACTGAAATAAAATTTTAAAATATTTTCTTTGATTTCTTAGCTGTCAATGGTGCAAATATATTTTTGTGTGGTTTGCTTTGTATTTTTATATTATGCTGTTTGAAATGTGCAAGTGAGGGAATGTAACTGCTTTGCTTCCACTGCAGTGCTGAGCATACTAATCTTTCTCTAACTTTCTGTGAAGTGTGTAGAACATAGCTCTTTATGGCCAAGTCTGTGTCATTATAAGGAGAGATCTGGGTGGCTTTACACAACATGGCCTTAATACTCTCACTCATATTTTCTACTATATTGTTTTCTAAGTAAAATATCATGCAGCACTGCATCTGGTTGCTATGAAATTATGGCACTTCTCAAGTACTGTACTCACTCAGCGTGAGGCTTTGCTATGCCTTTGAAGAATGAAATTCATAACAACAATATATTTTACAGTATATTATTTTGTTTTAAATGTGTACTTACTTTCTGATGGAGAACTGTTTCGAAAGAAGTCTTGCTTTATTGTAACTCAGTTTAGATATTACAAGGCTTACATTACCTTTTCTTACTTAGTTGCCACGGCCTCGCACTACTACCAAACAGCTGCTGACAGAAATGTTTGATGGTGTTGCAGCTCAGTTCCTTGCCATCCTGGAAGCTCTGTCTGATAGTAGCAGGGGTGTGTGTCACCCTGCTCCACCTGTTCCAGATGAAATTGAAATTCGTGAAGTCATTGCAGAGCTTTTTTTTGCAGGCCTGGAAATCCTCTCAGGTAATGGTGTAAAGAAGCTGAAAGGACGTAAAGGGTGTTGGTGAGGAGCCCAGACTTCCATTTTATTTATTTGTTTTCTCTGGTATAAAATAAAGAACTTGCCTAAAGGCATATATTTCATTTTTAACAATAGCACTAGTAAAAGCAGGCAATATTTCTTATCTTCACAAAATTAAAGATAAAAATCTGGGTTGATCTCTGTTGTCTATTATATCAGTAAAAATCTACACTATTTTTGCCTATGTTTTCTTAATACAACGGAATTAACCTTCCTCATAGCAGCTCATACAGTGCTGTGCTTTGCTTTGCATTTGTGTCTAAAACAGCATTGATAACACAACAGAGTTTTGGCTATGCAGAGCTGTGCTTGCACAGCACCAGGGCTGCCTCTTGAACCCTCCTCCCCGCAAAGGCGAGTACACTGGAGGTGTGCAGGAGGCTGGGAAAGGACATGGCTGGTACAGCTTACCCAAATTCACCAAATGGCTATTCCATACTATATGACATTATGCTCAGCAATAAAACCTAGGGCTAAGGGAGAGGTTGGGGGGGACATTAGTGGTTATGGCTTTTGTCTCCCCAAGTAACCCCTAGACATCCTGAGTACTTGCTTTCCAGGAAGTGGCTGTTTGCCTGCCTATGGGAAATAGTGAATAAATTCCTTTTTTTGCTTTGCTTGCACACACAGCTTTAGCTTTACATATTAAACTGTCTTTACCTCAATGCATAATCTTTTCCTTCTTTTTTCTCCCCCTACTCTGTTGAGGGGGAGTAAGAGAGCAGCTAGGTGGGGGTCTGGAAGCCAGGTAAGGTCAACATACTATGGTGTTTCGTGGTTTTTTTTTCCCCCAAAAAAAATCAAGTTAGATTTCAAAACTTGAGAAAAACACTGGATATGGTAATTCCTTCCAAACCTTATTTTACTGGGCTCTGGACTGAATATAGCCATACGAATAGAGATATTTTGTTGATAAAAGAATACATAGATACTAAATACACTTCAGAACTATATTTTTTTAATATGATTACTGGCTAATTGCAATCTAACAAATTAAATACAGTATAAACTGATTTAATGATTGTCTATATTACAGGTGGAGTGACTGGTACTGGTGTTCAGGGAAATAATTTTGGTATAATTAACGCATCATCAACCCTTCTGCAGCTGATACTAAGAGGTAAATTAGCTCTGAATTTTCGAAGGATTCTGTACCTAGTGATGCAAATGCTTGGTGAGCAGAGTAAATTTTCATGTTAGTAGCAGTTCTATGCATAAAGGGACTGCAAAATGCTGTACTCCTTGTGTGAGTTATGCCTGTTTATATGTATAATGTTAAGACATTCAAAAGGGATTATGTACAGGTGTCATTACGATTTTCTTAACACAAGTGTTTTTTAAATAACTTATAGTAATATATGGACATTGTAAATTGTAATCACATACTGTTCAGCATAGCAGTTCATCTAGATACATTAATGCCCCTAAACAATAATTCAAAGGCCAAATTCTGTGATGATGTCCTGGTACATTTTATGGAAAATAAGTGGGATGCAGTAACAGAAGGACTGTTGTAAGGTTGTTATGATCCTTGGACTGGTCATTGTGCTGCTTTGGAAAATAACAGCTGCCCATTACTAAGTTAACACTTCTAACGTCTTTTAGCCTAGTGACCATGTGCCCAGGTGATATGACGACGACTGTGGCATATTCTTAGGACTGCAGAACCCTGATATATATATTAGCTAGGACACTTGCTTAGAGTTCCAAGGACCAGGAAACCTCTTTTCTGCCTTACTGTGGCTTGGATAAACTTGAAGAGTAAGAAAATAGACTTCCTATGTGTACATGTACATTTTCTGATACAGTAATGAGAAATGCTCACCTGTCTCACAAGAAAATGTTCATGTTTCTATGCATCTTTTTAAAACTGAATTTCTGGTAAGAAAGGTGATATGGGATGATAGCCGAGTTTAAGCTCTTCCTGCAACAGAAAGAACTAGATCTTGATGTTCTCTACACAGGTATATTAATATCAACCTCTCTGGAATGTAACAGGACATTGCAGATACATCGTTAAAGCATAGATATTACAGCAAAATAATAAAGCTGTTGTATCTTGTAGAACTGTTAAAACATCCTTCAAGATTATGCTGACTGTTCAAAAACACGTGGGGTTTTGTCTTTGTATTTATCAATGCCCAAACTATTAAATTAAACTTAAATGAAACTCCTGAGTATATATGCATACATAAAACAGATAAAATATTTTTGTTATCACTGCAGGAGAAAAGGGGGTGTCTGGAGATGCTGCTGTGAAATTCATAAAACTAGCTTACAGCTATGAAAAATGGGACGTGTTTGCTTCTGCTATTGAATTTGTTGTTAATTTTCTTCAGGTAATATGGATGCTACTTAGACATTCCTTATGTAGTCTCTTCCTATCAGGGTAAGGAAGAGCATTCAAAGTGCATATTTTTAAGACAAATTTCTACTGGGTTTTTTTGGGGTTTGGTTTTTTGGTTTTTTTTTTTTTTTTTGGTGGTGTGGGAGGGGAGCTTGAGAGATGTTTTATTTTTTTCATTCTCAATTAGGCTCAAGATGATCCAACATGGAAGAAAGCTGAAATGGAGCTCAAACTTCTTACACTGATGCAATCTTTACGATTTCCAAGAAAATTTAAGCATGATTTTTCTATTAGTGAAAGTAATACCAAAGAAGCCAAGATGCCTGATGGTTCTGAAAATAAGCAAACATTTACGAGTGAGTGTTGTTCAGCTATAGCTGTGTTTGCATTTCATATATTTTTGTAAAGAAATTTTGTTTACTAGTTGATAACTATGTAATATGTTGTATGCAGTATTCTGTGACAAAAGTAGCAGTTGAGAAACTGCCACTATTGAATTCTGTTTTCTTTTGCCAAAACACGACTTCATACCATTTCCCTCAAGTATGGAAATGCCTGATGTATGTTAAACATACATCAAGTTATGTGCAAAGTTGTAAAATAATTTTATGTTTTATGTTTTCAGGCAGGTTTTCAGGAAAAAAAGTGAAACAGACATTTTGATGTTCATTTGTATGTTCTTACACTTCATTCATGTAAAATTTCTTGACGTTGAAGCAAGAAAAACTTTTTAAAGCAACTGTAGCTCAATTTATGACATTCCAAAAAACCTGCACATGTCTAGAAAACTTTCTGTTTCCAAAAATAGAAATGCACACTTTTAACGAAAGTGAATAAACTTGGGAATATCTATCCCCTTTGTATTTACTGTTTCTGAGACCATATTGTCTGCTGGCATACATTGGTAAGTCAATTCACTCATGTTTTTAAGCACGGGTTTGTAACTAGGAATGACATCTTTCATTTCTCCTTTTTTTAATGAACATTGAGTATAGGGGGTTCCTTAAAGCATGGAGAGCCTTCTCATGACCTTATCGTTTTGGCAACAACACTGTTTTCCTGTGTCTCCACATCTAAGCAGGTAATAACAGAATTAGAGACATTTCTTCTCAATGAATCACTTAATCTGTAATGAATGCATATAATCAAAGACCAAAGGAACCAGTTGCATGATTAACAAATCAGAAGAATATGAAAAATGAAAAAAAATATACTTACGAAATTCAATCAATTTGTGGTTTTGTTTTTGTTTTAAAATAGTAGTTTCAAAAATTTTTATTTTTATTTTTAATCAGTGCTGTGTAATCAGGCTACTTTAAAAATGTTTAAGAGAAATTAAATCTCTTTGGAAGACATAGGGCTAATTGCACATTTCAGCCAATCAAGCAGAGATTGAATTTCTTTAAGTATATTAGAATTAGGTGGGCGAATATGCTTGTCTGTAGAAAACACTTCTGCAATATTTATAGAAATGGGAGCACTTACCCTGAGGAATGATGATTTTTTATAGAGGAGTATGTCTGCAATTTAAGGTAATTTCTCACTGGAAACAAACAAACAAGCAGTATCAAAAACAAAACCGAAGAGAGTGGGACTTTTTGTGCTGAAGTCCCTACTAAGGAATAATCCCATTATATATCTGATGGTTTATTCCCAGAATAGCCTCCTTTAGCTTACTTGCTCAAATTGAGATCTTCTTAATTGCTATTGTGAGGGGGAAAAAAAAATACAGTGCCCTGTCTCCACTGGCATTTACATTAAAATACTTTGTGATCCAAAAGACTAGTAATATTTTTTCCTTGGAAAACACCCTGTTCTGCTAACATGTTGTATGTCTTAACTGCAATTTTTTTTTTTTATAACTTGAATATTGCCCCAGTATATAACTGGGGCACACACATTTTTAGCTTTAGTATATTATTTTCAGTCAAAATGTCTTGCCTGTGAGGTAGTTATGCCTTTAGATAGCATGATTGTCATTATTTTTACATGACTCCTGTATCATGGTGGCAGATTACCTGGATTTAAACTCTACTAATTTTACACTTTCCCACAAATCTTCTTGGTACCTAATCTGTCGAGGGAAGAAAAGGAAATTCTCCCCTGATTGACAGAGAATTCACTGATGGTGAACTTAGATGATATAGCTGAGGGAATAATAGCTTGCTGCCACCAAATGAGTGGCAAAAGCCATCTTGAGTTACTTTTTCTTCAGTCTTTTTTTTCCCCACTTCTCAATAACAATATCCCTGAAACCTTACACTCGTATGCATACTAGTAAGGATATAACAGGCTTGAGTTCCATTGCACCTGAGATACTAGTCCAGCTCTGGTATGAATGGTGATAAAATGTGCACTGATCCTTGAGCTCCATTGAGAATGTATTTAACAAAGTGTAGAAGGACTCTATTGCCTTTTAAAATGTGTTAATTACCAGGTTAATGGAATAAATTTTGAATTTGTTAATTATTTTCTTCAAAGGTGTAGATGTGTTTTAACATTTCTTTCAGTTGTTAGATATTCCACTCCAACCCTTTTGCTAGTTGTTTAAGTTGTTCATCACTGCTCCTTCATCAGAGATGCACCAACCACTCATGGGAAGTACTCCGTCAGTACAAAATCAAACCTTCTCCTCCAAATACTTAAATACTCTGATAAAAAAATGCTATGATATAAAGAATGAAGCTGTTAAATTACATTATTTAGTTTCCCCAGAATGTATTGACTATTATAATGTTTCACAGATAGTTAATTTGCTTGTCTCTCCCATGTAATTTTCATCTCGCTGCTTTTCTTGTGTGTGTTACTTTTAATAAAAAAAAGAAATTAAAAATACCCACCTCTAAGCCCACTTGTATTGCTGGGAGAAGAAAAGCTTGGGTGGTCTACCAGAAATTACTTCTTTTAAAAAATATTTCTTAAGCTCTCAAAGTGTTGTCACCTCTAATGAGAAAATTAAATATTATAATGTTTTATTTACTTTGAAACATTTTGAAACTGTTTATGTACTGTTTTGAGAGTTTTTATGTACATACTTCTTTCTACAATTACACTGGTTTTTTCTTTCCAGAATACCCAACCTGATGAAGAAATACTTGTTGCTGTAATAATGTTTTTGTGGCAGAAGTGTAAATCAGGACTTCAGCAAATCCAAATGAGTGGAAATGACTACTTGAAATATACCCACAAATACAAAGCTTACCAAGTACTCCTTCGTTATAATGTATTATTTCTCTTAATATGAATGCATTCTGTTATAGTAAAGTGAAGATAAAATGTTGGTATCCAATCTAAGTACATTTTCTTATGGTAAAATGCAGTAAATCTTCTTTACTGAAAATATAAATTGTATGTACACTTTGAACACACCGTGTTCCCATATGCCAGTATCAAAATTTCTTTTAGCCTTTTCCCAGTAAAGTAGCCCATTCTCTGCCAGTGGACCATGGTGGAAAGAAGCTAAAATAGAGAAAGCATTCAGGCATGATCTAAGAAAAAGCATTTGGTGTGTTATGGCAGAAAATACCAATATATTTCAAAAAAGTTCCCTACATCAGTTGAACAAAGTGAAAAAAACCTTACAGCTTAAGAGAAGGGAGATGGGGTATAGTATATGGCACACTGGATAGAGTGCCTGAGACTGAGAGGCTTTTCGTGAAATGCAGTCTTCTGAAAGATAATTTACACTAGTTTCTCCGGGCTGCCAGTTTATGTGGTCCTGATCGCTACAGTAAAATTGTTCAGAGATTCATCATAAGGTAGCGTACAGCTACTTTCCTCTGTGTATGCAACAGGAGCATTCAGGTCTCTTTTATACAGTTTAAGTAGGATGATATAGGCATAAATGAAAGACAAATGATCAAATCAGCTAGAAGGCTTACTACACCATGACAAGGTATAAAAGTTGTGCTCATAGAAGATTTATAAATATTTCTAAAACAATAAAAAATAATATTCTAAAATTTAAGAAGTCTGCTGTCTGCAGAAATAGGGGCTTTGGAGCAGCATAAACTCAGCATTTTAGTCTGGTGGCATTCAAAAAATGAAACCAAATCCAAGAAAGGAGTTATGTTCATGTTTATGAATCTTGTTTATGAATTTTGAATGCAGAACCCTATCTACTTCTGTAATATATAAATCTCTTCCAAAAATATTTTTTAACTCTATTTGTTTTAACTTACCTCTTTTTATTTCCTCTCCCCCATTTTTAGTGGGTTCGTATACTCTGGATAATAAATGAAGTAATTCAGAAGAGCAGCATAGCAAACACTAATGTTGTAATGCTTGCAGAGGTAACCTTACGTCTAACTGCAATATTGGAAAATGTATCTGATTCTGCAAGTAAATCTAAGAAAAAAGCAGGTAAAGCTTTCAATAAAAATTTTGTTGTCTTTCAAGAATGACTGTCAAGATTGGAACTTTGACAAATATGCATATTCAAAAGTTATTGAAAAGAGATTGTTGAAAGTGGAATAATAGTTTTTTTGTACACACAATTTCATCCGTAATCAGAGCTAATAAAACTTGGTTTTCAAAGGATTTATGCCTTATTCCCTTGCATTTCGTTCTTCTGGAGTAACCCCATTTTGAATTGCATCTCTTGTGACTCAGGTTTTCTACATGTCTCTTAGCCCCTTCAGAGTAGCCTCAGATCACTCATATGTTCTTTAAAAATTAGCTATGTAGAAGGCAGTATGCGCTTTGGCTTATTTGGAGCGTTCAAGTGCTGGTTGCCTGGTGTTAGGCTAAACAGAAGAGGGAAATATTGAAGTCATACTGAAGCTTTGCTTTTATTGGGTCATTAATTTGGATCTCTTATCCACACAAATCTTGAATTTTGTGTAGGAATTCAGTTGTCTTTGAAATTGAACTTGGCTGATGTTATTAGGCTGTAATGCAATCACAATCACATTAAACAAATTTCCTTCCAAAATGTGATTAACATTGTAAAATATGACTATTTAGACATATAAAGGTTCTATGTTTCTGTAAATGTAGTATCTTGAAATATGAATAATAGTTCTCATAAAAGTTTTACATTAACTAGAGTGTAGATTTTTAAGGACCCTTTTAGAGTGTATCTGGGAACAGATGAGAATGAAAATGCCTTTAGTTCTTTTGAAAGTAAGAAAATACTGGAATGCTACTATTCTTTATAAAGGTAGAGTAGGTATTGTTTTCTGTGATGTTATGAAAACCATTTAATTCTGATGGAGACTGGATGAATCTTCATTGTAGCATCACTGAAATTATTTTTCATTCAGTTTAAATATGTCTTTTTGGAGGAAAAAAAGCTGAATAGATAGGAGCCACTGGTCAAAACAGGGTGATAAATAGCCAAGCACATGTTTATGCTGAGAAGAGTCTTTTTACTGGATGAATGCTGACTTAATAGAAATTTTCTTATTTATGAGAAAGAGACAATGAACAAGCCGAAATAAACAGGCAAAAGTGGTGCAAGGAGTACAAGAACTGGTTGCCCATCTGAAAGGGCAAAAATTGAATTTATTTTGGCAAAGAAATAAAATTTTGACAGGCTAGTGGGCTATAACCAAGAACAAAGAAACTGCTTCCTCTGTTTGGGCCGCTCCCTTTTGTTCTGGAAAGGAAAACACAATTCTGTATGCATTCTTTATAGATGAAAATAATGTAAACAATCCAAATGAACGTTAAAAGGGTGATAATACCCTTTCAAGGAATATTAAATTGAAATAGTATATATCATAAGAATATGACCTCATGTATTTAAAAATCTATACATAAGTTAGCATTGAAACCACTGTGAATTAGATAACAATAGATTTGAACTGATTTAAAAAAGGAAAGTTAGTATGAATGCTACAACAATGTGAGGAACTACAAAATGAGTCCAAGTTTCACTGGCTTGGATATAATGTTACTTTGAAATATAGGGTACATTTAAAAATACTGAATTATTGGATAAACACATACTGAATTAGTATAATTGTACATACGTAGCTATCGTGTTTAAACTCTGAAAAACTTTTAATGAAACAATATCATTATCTCTCTTAGTCAAGTACTATAGAATAGAATTATTGCCAGACTCTTAAGCTAGTAGTAGTGCTAATCAAATGGCAGTAATATTTTCTGAGCGTATTTTGTTTTCACTTTTTGATTTTCTTCCTATAAATAAGGAAAAAGAAGTGCCTCTCTCTTGCAAGATGAAACCTGTGATATGCCTGAAATACTGATGGTAATGTCCAATTCGTTTTCATTAATACAATGTTTCTGAATAGCATAAAAACTTATTTCTACTTTGTATTTAGTTTTATAAAGCTGAGTTTCACACCATCATGCTAGTGCAGAGAAAAAAAGCAAAGATCCTCTTTTTTTCAAATGAAATAAAATCTGAAAATTTTCCTGTAATCTTTTTTAACATTCTGTGATATGGAAAAAGTTTAATTCAAAACTTTTTGTTTACACCGTCATCATACTGATTTCCACTGTACCCTCTTTTTTATACCCATGTATAGTATAAGCTTTAAATGGTTTCATAGTACATTTTTTAAAGATCATATAAACTTTAATCCTAATAGTAATAGAAATCATACCAACAATAACAATACTGATAATAATAATAATAATAGGAAACAATAACAACAACAACAAAAAAAACCCCTCAGAAAACACAAGTGATGCACAGTACAGTTGCTCACCACACACTGACTGATACCCAGCGTGACCCAGGCAGCGACTGATCCTTTCCCTGTAACTCCTTCCCATTTATATACTGGGCACGATGTGCTGAGGTATGGAATTTCCCTTTGGCTAGTTTGGGTCAAGTGTCATGTCTCTGCTTCCTCCTGGCTTCCTGTGCCCCTCTTCACAGGCAGGGCATGAGACTCAAAAGTCCTTGATCAGAGTGAGCATTACTGAGCAGCAACTATAAAAGTGGTGCATTAGCAGCATTGTTCTCAGACTCAAGCCGAAGCATAGCACTGCACCAGCTTCTGGGAAGGAGAAAAATAGCTGTTACAGCTGAAGCCAGGACAACCTGTCTTAATGTTTACACCCATGAAGAATCTTTAATTCAGCAACAGTCTGCTTAAAAGTGTTGCTTTCTGAAAAATTAGTGTTTTCTTAACAGCATCTGATGGAACGCTGAAAAACTGCTTGTGAAAAATAGTGTTTGACAACTCAATTCTCTTAAGTTCAGTTTCATTCTGCTATAAGCTAACTCTTTGAGTTAGTAAATTGTTTTTGAGAACTGAAGGAAAATAAATTCTAAATTAATTAAAATTACTTGAAGTTTAAACCACTGATATTAGTATATGAAAGCATGGGGAGCAGTGCCTATGTAAAGATTATTTTATAGTTTAACCTGCAACTGCTAAAATAATAGCACTTTACTTTTGATAGGCCACATTATACCTTTCAATGCTACTATCAAGTAAAATATGTTTCTGTGTGTTTTCACATCAGAAAAGTTCTACAGAACAATTACAAATTGCTTATGAAATTCTTGAAAAAGCAATTGATGGAATGAACACATCTCACTTAATGACCCTTCTACCAGATGGAAAGTCAGTATTTGACATCTGCTGTACAAAGGTAAAAAGTCTACAAAAAGCTACACTGCAATGAAATCTATAAATAATATATTGGATTTTGATGACACAAAACTTGTATTTTCTTCATACTTAGGAACTTTGTATTATCAAATGTACCTCATCTTCCTACCCTATGTGAGAAGAGAAAAGAAAAAATAAATCTATATGTAGCAGAAATAGCATTTTTCTCTTTCAGCAAAAAACTATAAATGATCCTAGGTTTTCTTTGCCATTTTGTTTTGGAAGTATTTGTAATTTGTAGGTTTCTCTAATAAAATAAAAGCAGAAGTCTATCATGTTTATTGCTTGCAACTTCATTATTAAAATTAATTTTTGCTGTTGAAGGCGGTTCAGATTTTCTAAATAATATCATTCTACACCAATATGATCTTTATTTTTTTTGGACTAGTAGCACAATAAATGAATTTTTTCTGTAGTTTCACATTTATTATTAATCCAGTTTCCTACTGGTTCTCAGGTTTGTCTAATTTTCTTTGTCCACTACTCATGCTTTCTCTGTCTAGTCATTCTCCTTCCATGCTTTCTTGAATGACTGAATATTACACAGATATGACAAATTTCAGTGTGTGTCAATTTACTGAAATAATAATGTCGATGTCAGTATAAATATAGTAAGCTAATTAAGAAAAGTTTCTGCTTGCTTAATTGCCTCTCCTACTTATTAGGGGGACTCAAATGATCAGAATTTGAATTCTGTTTTGGGATGTGCTAATGATAACACAGGAACAGGTAGTAGTTTTGTAATGGATTTACACTTGGAGCTCCTTCAGGCTCAACATCGAGTAGCTGTGAAACTTCTTAAAATGGCACAAGGTAGGTTTGAGTAAAGCTAAATAATCTTCATAGCTTGATTAGAGTCCTTTCTTAATATATTTTGTAATACTGAGATATAAAGGAGTATCTACTTTCTGTAGAGGATCTGATGTCGGCAGTACAGACAGAAATAATATACCGAATTTGCAGAATTTAGATTTACCATGATACTAGTCAATCAATGGGAGTTAAACTGCTAACAACTACTGAATTTGGTTCCTAGACAGTTTGTCATCATTTTTCAGTTATAATGTTAACTGTTACAGTGCCAGTATCAGAGATTTGGGGGATGCACTGCAGATTTTTTTTTTCTGTCATTCTAATTTTCTCTATAGAGAATGGCTTGAATATTTTATTCAATGCTCTTTGTAATCTGAATTTCTACTCCTGTGAAGTTGTGCTTGCCTATTCGCAGTCAGCAGACATGCCACTCTTGCCAAATGCCTTCTGAAAAAAACCCAAAACAACTCTACTTGGTCTCCCATTCCTGTGTTTCTAACTAGTATTTGACACTACAGAGCTTCCCTGCGCATTGCTCCCTGTGATCAGACAAGATCCCTCTTTTCCTGTGATGTTAGTATAACTAGTGGCATGATCAGTCCAAGAAATTTTCCTTGAACCAAAGAAAAGAACATGAGATGGAGCAGAGCTTTACTACAGAATTACATATTAACCCCTCTCACTGAAATTTTCTCAATAGCACTACAAATAACTCAGGATTTCCTTCCCACATAGATGCCCAAAAGGATGTTGGAAATCGTAAGTCTAGCAAGTTTCATGTGAAGGATATTAAAGATTTCCATTATTTAACAGGTAAGGCTTAGTAATTAAAATTTTAGAAGTACAGAAAAATATCGCTGCTGTTTTATAAATGTCTTAAAATACCTATTTTACAGAGGAACTTGTAATAGGAAAAATAAAAAAGAATAAGCTATCCAGAGCAATCTTTTTGATGCAAAAGGCTGTACAGAAGTTCCCTAAAGAGTTAACCACTTCTTCCCAAAGGCAGCTACTGGAGGTAAAAGAAAAATAAATCTTATGATAGAAGTGCTTTATCATTATCACAGTGTTTCATGTTGTGTACAATTAAGACCTGGATTACTCCTTACAAAATAAGACAAATGGAAGGAACTTGAGGGATATTGGGTGTTTTTAACTTCTGCTGTCAAATTTTCCCTGAGAAGTTTCATTATGATGAAAGAATAGAATGACTTAAAACAAGGAAAGAGCACATCCTTGAATTTTGTGCACACATGAAAACTGCAGAAAATCTGAAACAAGATCTGATGTTTTGTTCTACACCTAATTGCCTAGATTTTGCAATTATGAACCTATGCCTTGCCAAAATGTCATGCAGTTTTCCTTCTTCCCATTACAACCTTCAACATCCTCTTTTCAGCATATTTTGATTATACACTCAAATAATTATCCTCCTAGAGTTGAACAGTGCTCATTTCATAAAGAGGAAATCCACGCCTTTATTTTCATGCTTCTGTGTTGAGGATTTTGCTTTTTTTACCATAGGACATTCAAGAAGTCTATATAGAATTACTTTTATCCTCTGGTCTTTTCTAGACTTTTTTTGTACACTTTACCATGAAGAAATTAATTTTTTAAGGAAGCAATGAAGTTTCCAATTTCCAGTTGTAAAAGTTGAGTGATTGTGTGAGGGAAAGTCACTCCATGTCTTGCTCTTTGTCTAATATCTTTCCTTAAACATGTCTCACTAGGAACCCTAACCTAAAGCATGGGGAGGGGAGGGAAGTGAGGTGAAGTGAGGGCCTGTGCAAATGATTAGCTATGTGATGTAATTAAGGCTCTATTAAATCTCAGTTTCCTGTTTCATTATAAATTTATAGCTAGTTTTTGGTCATTTTTGAACATGAGATACAAGGTTTATTCAATCAGTGATCTGGGCCGGTATGGTTGTTCATATAGCCCTGTAAATGTATCAGGACAGAAACAAGGAACTGTTAAGGTGCAAGATTATAGGACTGCCACTGAGTGACCTATTTATCTTTCAGACTTGTACATCTTGAAATTAATCTGCATATGTAAGGCTTACACAAAATACCATTCATCCTAATTTAGGATGTAAGATGATTTGAAAATCTATAAATGTTTTCTACATAAGAGTGAATTTTTGTAAGATCATTTTGAAAACCATTTGTATATATTAAATCTGTCTGATTATTATGTTTTAGTAGTTTTCCCTTTTGTTTTAATTTAAATCATAGAAAGCGCTAACTTTAATTGAGCAAGTTGAAGCTGAACGAAGTGCCTTGTATCACAGTCTCAAAGAAGCCATGAGCAGCGAGAAAAAAAGCAAGACTCCTCCACCTCCTCTATTACTTTCTAGATCACATTGCTCCATGACATTTAAACCAGCCCCGTTCTCTTCAGATATTCAGGTAATGTTTTTCATTATGACTGTGTAAGAAAGAAGTAAACAACACACAAGAAAGCAAAAGTTGTTTCAACAGCACTATCCCATTACAGTTTTCTCTGTTGTTCTTGAGAAGATTATGTTATTCTGACTTAATTAAGTATGCTCTTTTTTTGCCCCTGTGAGTCAATTGTGACTCAGTTTTGATCTTCACATTTGCGTGACGCTTTCTTCATCTCATGCATCATGTTCCTTGGTGCTTCTGTCATATAATATTTATTCTACCTGTCAAAAGCTCTTTCTCTCATTTAGGGGCTGACATAGTCCTAGTTACCCTCTGAAGCAATGCAAGGATGTTGCATCATGTGGTGCAAGAGGGTACCACACTAAAGCCTCTGTTAATGAAGTGCTGAAGTGCCATAGTTCAGGTGGAAAAATCTACTTTCTGTTGAACATACAGAACCATGGAACTACTCAGGTCATAAGGGATTTTAGGAGAGGTCTCTAGTCCGACCTTCTGCTCAAAGTAGGGTGGGGTGTGAAATTAGAATAGGTTGCTCAAGGCTTTATCCAGTCAGTTCTGAAAACCTTCAAGGATGGAGTCTGGACAGCTTCTCTGGGCGACCTGTTCCAACAGGGCAACCTGTTAATAGGGAAAACTTTTTTCCTTATGTACAATTGGAATCTCTCTTGCTTTGATTTACATCTGTTGTTTTTCATCCTCCTACCATATGCTACTGTGAAAAGCCTGGCTGCCTGGCTCCATCTTCATCACTTGCAGGGTAGGTTCTCTGAAGCTACCTCTTCTCCAGGAAGCAGCAGCCCAGCTCTCTCAGCCTCTTCTTGCAGGGCTAGTGCTCCAGCTCCCAACCATCTTGGTGGTCCTCTACTGTAATCTCTCTAGTAGTTCAACGTTTCCTTTTATAATGATGTGGGGAAGGAGGGAAACTGACCATGGTATCTAGATGTAGTTTAATGAGTGCAGAGCAGGGGGGAATAATCACATTCCTCAATCTCCTAACTGTATGTCTGTAACACAGTTCAAGATGCTTTGAGGCTGCTTTGCTGCCAGGCACACCACTGGCTCGTGTTCAGCTTGATCTATAACATGACTCCCAGATCCTTCTGTGCTGCTCCCCAGCCTACCAGCCCGTCTCCTTTCAAGGGATTCTTCCTTCCCAGGTGCAAGACTTTGTATTTGCTTTTGTTAAAATTCATGAGGTTCCTGTTGGCCAGGAATTCCTCTGGACATTCTAGATCTCCCTGAATAGCAATCCTGCCCTCAACCATATCAGCTGTTTCCCTCAATTTGGCATCATCTGCAAACCTGGTGAGCATGTGCTCACTTTTTTCCCTCAGGTCTTTGCTAAAGATATTAAACAGGCAGGTCTCAGGATAGTCCCCTGCAGTGCCCCACTTATTACCACCCTCCAGCTGGATTTCATAGTGATTTTGTAAGCTTCTTCAAAATAATATGCATAAACACAGTAGAAACTCAAATTGTATTAACTGTGGTAAGAATGTTTCTGTGAACAGTCCTTTTATAACTTGCAGTTTTATTGCAGTTAGGAAATTTCAAATAAATTAATTAGGGAAAGGTTCTTAATTTTTATCCCTAATGAACATTAAATTTTAAAGCAGTGAATTCTTTAAAGAACAGTAGTTCATCTGTTTAATTTTATTCAATACAGGTGAGCAAATGTAACATATTTGGCCACTAGATAGCGCAATTCTATTAGTCTTGTAATTTGTGCTCAGAAGACTTTACTAACTGGGTACTTAGGATTTAATTAGATGCTTAGGATAAATGGATATTAGGATTTAATTGAACATACATAGTTCTTGTACTAGAGGTTGAAGTCACTAAAATTGCCTGATCTTAAAATTGCTCATTTGCTGAAAATATTCTCTTCTATTTCAATACCGTTTTCTGAAAACGTCAGGTTTCATTGCAGGCCAAATCATGTGTAATACAAGAAAAATAAACATTTTAGCTGTATAGAATTTTTATATGTTGAAAAATGACCTCATCTGCCAAGCTCAGGTCTGTTTAACTGTCTACTGAAAGTAAATGGTTAATACACTGTTTAACAGAAGTTTAATGCAAGAGAACTTCATCACATGTGTAACTTATTCATCTTCCCAGTTCTGCGGAGATGAAATAAAAATTGGTTTCCATGTTTGATCTTACTGGAGATGACTGAGCACTGATGCAGGACTGCATGCTCACATTCTTCCTTGGTTAGATATATTGAAAGTGCAGATGAAATGCCCAATGAGATTATCAGCAGCTCAATGACATTAAAAAACCACTGATTTCAGTACAAACTAAAACCATGGCTTGTTTAGGAAATATTACTGCATTATATCATACCTGTATTTCTGTTGCCTGCTTTTAAGGATATATCTTCAAGTCATTTGCTGAATTGTATCCTGATGACAACTTTAGAAGATCGCCATTGCAAGGATCAAAGAAGGAATTTAGATGAGTTTAAATCTACAGGATGACCTACAGAGTTTATGCGTTGGGATAGGTTGAGGTATAGGGTAGCTCAAGGTAGGAGATAGGATAATGGAGAGTCATCTGCTTTTATTGCCATTGTGGTACATCTAGTTGTCCAGCTAAATCAATTATTTAATGCTTCTAGTGCAGTTAGACTATACATTTTTATAACTAAGTTTGGGATTTTTTTCAGAGGCTGTTTTCACAAAATTAGTACATTCTACATAGGCACAAGATGGAAATACTATTATGTATCAACTTATTTTGTTCTCATTTTCTTCAAAGGTTTCATGGTACAGTATTTTTGGTTCTGTAGCAGGAGGAAGTAATGCGAAAGTAAGGTTAAATAATGATAAACTTCAAAATGCAGGTGAACAGGTAAGACACAGGTAAAACTCCTGTAGGTCATTCTCCCTTCCTTTAAAAAAACCCAGCTTTCTCAATGTATACATCTAGCATCTTTTTTTTAATCAGGTAGCTGGCTAAGCCTTTGACAAACTTTTTGATCTTTATTTTTACCAACTAAAATTTTGCTAGGCTGAAGGCATACCAAAATCCCCCAAAAGTTCTAGGAACCTTTTTTGAATAATAAATTAAATTATTCAAAAGTTTCATGGTAGACAAGTCTCTGTCCCTTGTGTTACAACCCTGTTCTTTGAGCAATGTCTAAGAATTATAAAAGGAAAATAAATTATGTGATGTATCTATAAAATGTGCCTCAGACAGTACTCTTCCCAGGGATTTAAAAAAAAAAAAACAAAGAGAAATTCTAAACAGATATAAAATTTAGTATTTTTCTCAATTGTGTAATTGCTATCAGCTATTTCTTCTTAACAAGACCTTACCTTACTTAATTCTGGCAACATGATAATATAACTCCTTCAATAATCTTCATGTTCAGACATGATT